TGGGCAACGAGTACGGTACGGGCGTGTTCCACTACCAGCACAGCGTGGCGGCCACCATCCCGGACGCGCTGTACATGGTGGACGGCGAGGCGCACGCAAGCGCCGCCGACGCCGACTCCTCTGCCGGCGAGGACGATATTCCCGGTGAGGCCCCGTCCGAGCCAGCACCGGTGGGCGGACGGCAGCGCTGGCCGAATGAAGCGTCGGTCTTGTCTGCGTTGTCGGAGGGCTGGTTCAAGTCGCCTGCCGCGGACTGTTGTGCTGCCGAAATGACGTAGTGTGGCCTGATGGTGGACGCCGCTAGGCAGTCGGGTTAGAAGTGATTGTCTACGTTTATGTGCTAGTACCCTTGCGCCATGTCGGCACCACAGGAGCTCGCGGTAGTTGATGTGAAGGAAGACGGCCCATGTCATCATCATCCTTTTAGAAATTGTTTGTGTAAGAAACCCAGCGATACGCCCTATTTTGGAGCAAACACTCACACATAACATCAGCGGTTCAGACTTGGTGGAGTGTTGACACTGCTTTCCGAGTTGGTGAAGTGTTGAGGCTGTTCGTGTCGTCGTAGGTGGTGCAGTATCCCTCTTACGTACCCTCCCTGTGACGTGAGCTCTTTCGACCTCACTGTGACATACCTTCGACCTCGACCTGTTTGTGATATGTGATTTTGCGTGCCTCATTCCTGTTCACTTTGTCCATCCTGGAGTTTGACCCCCTCCTCCTTCTGTATGGTAAGCCTGCATCCTTTCCGTGACTAGCGTCTGGTTGATCTCTACTCCCGTCTGCCCTGTCGCCAGCACGCATCTGTTCCCGTTTCCCGTGTGCCTCATGATGCCTGGTCACAGCGTCGTTCCGTTACAGTGGCGCCGCGGGCCGACATCCTGTCGGCGATGCTGCAGCGACAGCGCGAGCTGCAGGCGTCCGGCCTCTACCAGCGCGCCAGCACGTGCCTGCTGCTGACGAGCCGGCGCGCGTGCGCCGCCAGGTCGGCCTGCAGGTGGTGCGCGAGTACGGCCTGCCCGACTGTATGGTGCGGGTGCTGCAGGTCAGTCGCTGCCCCGCCCGCGCCGAGGCCACCAGGGCGCGCCTGATGCCTGCCGGACGGCTGATGCTGCGCCCGCAACACGGGATCATTACACGTGTTTTCCATTGCTGTTCGGCTGTGTTCCATTGCTGTTCGGTGTGATGTACTGAGCCGGTGCCGCTGCACAGCTGTGCTTTGTTTTTGGGACTGGGTTGTAGTGGGGTGGTTTGTATTGCTGGGCTGATTTGGTCGCTCCATTCGTGGTTCCCTAGTGTCCCATACCCTGGGCGTTAGTCGTCTCTTGATCGCTGACATGCCTCCACAGTGTCTGATCCCTGACATGCTTCTACAGTGTCTGATCCCTGACACGCCTCTGCGGTGACACCGATCTGTGACATGCCTCTACAGTGTCAGATCCCTGACACACCTGTGCAGTGCCCCTGATCTGTGACATGCCTCTACAGTGTCTGATCCCTGACACGCCTCTACAGTGTCCCTGATCCCTGACATGCCTCTGCAGTGTCCCTGATCCCTGACACGCCTCTGCAGTGTCCCTGATCTCTGACATGCCTCTACGGTGTCTGATCCCTGACACGCCTCTACAGTGTCCCTGATCCCTGACACGCCTCTGCAGTGTCCCCTGATCCCTGACACGCCTCTGCAGTGTCCCTGATCCCTGGCACGCCTCTGCAGTGTCCCTTTATCCCTGACACGCCTTTGCGATGCCGCGCAGGAGGCGAGCCGGCGCAGCGAGGGTCAGCTGACTGTGACGCAGGCCGGCAGCCGGTGGCGCTCCACCAACGACCTGCCGCGACACTGCCTGCTCACCTTCCCGGAGCCGGAGCCGGCCCAGTTCCGCACCCTGGACGTGAGTCAGCCGGCCGCCGGCTGCACCGCCGCGCGCGGCGTCGGCACGGCCGTCTCCCCCAGCGGCGGGGCGGCACTTTCAGTACATGTTTCGTTGCGTTGTGTGTTTTGCTGTCCGCTGGCGATGCATTCTTTGCTTCACCGCGGTGGTATGGGTTTATCGATGTGGGTCCAGTTTTTGCCGTGGGGCTGCGGCGTGTGACGTTAGCAGTTAATAGGGATGATATTTTGTAACATTTACTTAATCGACGATCATTTGATATGAATTAGTTACTAGCCATGTTCATGGCAAATTGATTAGCTGACATGCTGTATGGTTCTCCTGATTGTATCCCGGAACTTTGGGATTATGATTCGGACGTGGTATGAAACATTCTGTCACTGCGAATTGTTGAAGCATGATGGCACACAACACAGCAAGTAGTTTATCACCTCCTGTAGTAACACAACTCAATGTTCATCAACACTTCGTATGCACGTATGTACGTATGCACAGCACACGTTCTGGTATGTTGCTAATAAATCATGTGATGGGAGCAACGGCCATTATAGATCCGTCGCTGCTATCGTTCACGTCGCGTCATGGGTGACCATGTTGGATGTCAGTCCACCTTTCGCACCGCATGGTCTTTCTGTTGCGTGTCCAACCACGCAGTGATACGAGTATCCCCCTCGCACGCTCCGCCTGCGCTGTCTCACACCGTTTTTGCCCCCCCCCCCCCCCCTCCCCTGCCCGTCTCGCTGTCCCGCCTGTTGACGGCGGATGACGCCGCCGTGGCGCCGGCAGCTGGAGGCGCTGAACCTGCGCGAGCCGGGCCACCTGTCGACCATGCCGGACGTGGCGCTGGCCACGGGCACGCTGCCGCGCCAGCGCTCGCTGCGCCAGATGCGCGAGCGCGAGCTGGAGCTGGACCTGGGCGACGGCACGCGCCACTACCAGAGCCACTGACGGCCGGCGCCGGACGTGTGCGTCTGCACCTGCAACCCTGCAGTGACGCGACTCCACGTCCGGCCGACCGCGCCGCCGCCGCCGCCGCCGCGACCGACGCCGCCGCCGACGACGACATCACCACATTGTAGATCTCATCCATTGTGCGCCTTACCTGCTGCCATATTCGCTGCCGCCGCCGGCGCCGGGCGGCGTGCGCGGCGCCGCGGGAGGAGTACAAAGCCGTCGCCCGGGCCGGCTGCGGGCCCGCGCGCCGCCTCTCTCCTCGTCTGCGCGCGCCTGGTCCGCCCGGCGGCCGGCAGGCGTGGGCCGCGCGCGCGCGCCTCGTGCCGATCGCTCTCTCCTGTCGCGACAGACAGCTGCTCTACCTCTCACGGTGACGGGCTGCTGCGCGCACGTGCTCGTGCGCCCGCTCTGCGCGCGGACCACTGGTGCGTCAGTGGCGAGCGCCGGTGGAGACCCGGAGCGCCGGGCGACGCCGCCGCCGGCGCCGGCCCGCGAGCGGCCGTGTGATTCACGTTTTGCCAGCTGCAATATGCCGGCGCGCTCCTGTCGCGCCCGGCTCTGTTGACCGCTCGGCGTTCACTGGTGATTTCGTTGTGCCCCAGATGTGATAGTGTGCAGTTTTCATACCTATACATATATATCTGTGTGTTTTGTGCGTACGCGTGCGTGTCATGTGTTTTGTGCTCCACGGTCTGTCGTGGTTTTTGCCCGGTATTGGCCTTGCTCGCCGCAGGGGTCTGCAGCGTGGACCCCTCGCGAGCATTCCTCACGAACACCGAACAAATGTTATCCACTCAAATGACGATCGACCAAATAGCCTCCCTCCGCACCTGATTTCACGGTTGTGTTCTGGCGGGATGTGTGCGGCGTCCGCGCGCCGGCGGCAGCGGACCGCCCCCGTCGCGTCGCGATCGCCGCGCGGCGCGGCGGGCCGTTGCGCTCCGGCGGCACCGGTGTTCACCGGCGCGCGGCTCGGCCAGAGCGAGCAGCGACCACTAACCCGTTCCGTGCGCACGGGCAGGCCCGAGTGTGTGCGACAGTGACGCGGCTTACGCTGAGGGCGTGTGTGAGCCGGGCCCCCCGTGCCGCGATCGCTGATTGGTCGGAGAGGGCCGGCCGACTGCCGCCTCGCTGAGGGCCACTGCGACACGTAACACTGGTTTGTATTACACCGTATTCACTTATCGCTTGCTGTTGGTATATACGTTGTAGTCCTTGTACAATTGCTGCGACTTTAGGATCAATACAATACTTATATTCACGTATGCACAATGCTTTTGGCGTGGGTGCTGGTGTGTTGGTCAGAAATCTGCGACGGAGGTCCCCAAGCAGCTTGGGGTCTCAGTTGGGGAGCGACCCTCCCCAAATCATGAGCCTTGGCATTCCGTCCACATTCGGCGTCGGTTTGGGCTCGGGGATGGCTGTCAGCGGTTCCGGCCTTGCACTGGCGAATTCAGTGGGAATGTCGATATGAAATGGTCCCGATCGCACCAGCGGACTGTTGGTGATGGAGAGCCTTCCCATGTCAATGCCAATCAAACCGCTGGAGGGTATTTCATGTCATGCATCAGCTAGCTTTGACCAGGACACCGCCTAGCTGTAGCTTTTGTAAAGAAAGTTCGACAAGCTACACAGCTGATACTATAGACAACGCGCAAAGCCCCTCAGGTCTGCGTTATTCCCTGGAGAAAGACTGAAGAACACAACGGACATTTGTGACAAGAACCTTGTGTCTGCTCGGTTGCGGTTCCGTAATATTGCGGGCGCTAGCCTCGGCCGCTGGAGCTCAAACCTCTGCTCCCAAAAGAAAGATCACTTTTAAAGGAGGACGCCCAGCATCGCCGGAACCTACTGAAGACCGTGGTCCCTTTTCAACGGGGTCATTCTACCCGGGTTGGAAATACACACCGCGACTGCGGAGCCATTTAGCCCCACGCAGGAGTGTCCCGCCTGACTTCTGCATGCGTCAAGTGACACAACTCACATCAGTGAACACACATTTTATATTCATGACAGCACATCTGGCGAGACATTCACTGATGACAGTACAACCACCCAGGAGCAACAGTCCCCCATCGGTAACGTCAGCATCGCTGCCGTGACCAAGCCCGACACTCACAAACACCGGCGAGGGCATCACCATCATCGAAACCACTACAATTCAAAATCGTCCCGCAGTTCGTTGTACTCCTGTACGTGTTTTCGGATGGCAGACGCGTCCACCCAGGTCAGGAAGTCCTCCATGTTCCTCGTGACGAAGAACGCCGGGTCCTTGACCACCTCAGGACCAATGCGCACGTGTCCCTGCTCCACGAACTGCGTGGCCATTTTGACCGTGGGCGCCATCTTAAGGCGCACCATGAGCACAGGCAGGCGTCGTCGGCAGAAAGACGACGCCGTCACCTTGTCCACCAGCTCCAGGTTCCACTTGGTTGGGATCAGGCCCATCTGGTAGGCCTTTTCGATCAGCTGTGCGGAGGCCTCCACCCGGAACTTATCCTTTGGGTCGAGGTTCCGTATTTTGCGGGCGATCTCTCGGATCTGGCGAGCCAGCTTGTTGTACTTTGTGTAGTCATCCCGTTTCTTTATCTGGAACTTACGTAAGATCTTGGCTTCGTGCAGTGTGTTGTCTGCTTCCCATGATATGAAATCTACCTTCTTGAGCAATCTCTGCTCATGATACTTTAGCTTTCTAACCATGATTTTCTATGTTGCAATAATATCTGCAGAATAAATAAAACATAGTCATTGGAAGTCTTCAGGCTGATATGGAACTGAGCAACAGGATGTTACAGACAGTGGAATCATTGGATATTTAAGGGGGTAGACAATGTTGTAAGTAGAACAGACATAAGGACACAACAATCAAGACACTTCATAAGCAAATATGTATTATTTTAATTCCTCTACTTATTTTTGTCACTAATAAGTGCTAGCAACCCTCTAAATGATTGCTGCACCAGATGGTATACTATCAGGTTCATGGCAAATATCATATCCATATGATTTGGTTGTCACCTCAAGTAGGAGTACAATGGGTGTGAGTGTAACAAACAAATATTTTTAGGAATTAGGAAACCCAGCAAGGGGCCATCAAACCAGCAATAAGTATCACACATTGGCACAGGTCCACTATCCCACCAAGCTACCAAATGTCAAAATGTGGCATGTCAAGAGGCTTTCATGATATTGCTTCCCCTCCAATGCTCATGAGGATAGTGCTTATTTCTTAAAACTGGAAGGAAAACACACCCTCCAATTTCATGCAGTGGAGGGCACATATGCCAACACAGGCATGTTCTTATACACACCCAGCCTGTGGACTATGGCAAGCATGCCAACAAGATGTTTAAGATACACATCACCCTGCCACAAATAGAATGACAAACTGCCCAATTTGGAGCAAACATTGCTAACCTTACCTTCCCCCAAAAATACAAATGTCGAATCAGATTTGGTTATTTTCTATGATCTCAGCAGTCACTTTATACCAACATAACACGTGCTAATTGCCATAGACATTCCAATTAATATTTCCACCCCAAATCTTTGATAATCCACATTTGATGCTTTTGACAGTTGCCCTAGATTGCAGGTTATGTCCCACCTCTGTAACAACGAGATCTCTGAAATGAGAAATCTGTAATGCTTTGCAAACCGGACTACCATGTCTTCCAAAGCTTAGGATTGGTTCCCTGGCAATAGAAATTACGTACCTGCTTGGAAGCTACACTTTTCTACAAGAAAAGACCGCTTCCACCTACCGCACCTCTCTTTCTCACGAACGAGCAAAACTATACTTAACTTACGGGGCTAATAGATTCCTACTCCCCGAGAGCGGCGGCACGAACCTGGACACCACGATCCATGCTCGCTATTGATGCAATCTGTGACGCACATGTGCGCCATGATTCCCAGCCGATATAAACTCGTCAGCTTTTAAAAATTAAATGACGTCATAAACGTAAGTTGTTACAAGGCACTTACTTGACGAGTGGGTGCCACGATATTCTTTTGATAAATGCATGTATTCAAAATATAAATACGTCTATCTATTCATTCTCCTAGTTATTTCAACCAGGATTGGAGTTATTGCTAGGACCTTACATGTACGTCATGATAACCTCAATTAAACTGCATACTTCGAGAGCCCCCATCTCTGTCTTGTTGATATGCATCAGGTGCAGAGGAAATGTGTATAAATGCTCTAAGCCATAAATAACCGTGTTGCAGGGGCGGATCCAGAGGGGGGCACGGACTTTGACCCCCATTGGGCCCCGAAGGAGCCCACTGGCTCGGAAGGGGGTCCATAGCCGGCCGAAGATGTGAGTTTTTTTTAAACACAAAAACGCAACAAACTGGGGATCTCCGGACTTCCAGGCGACCAAAAAACAGCTGAAAGCAAAAGTGAAGGGCCTGCGAAAAGTCCAAAATATTATCCAATGATTGGAAAAGCTCTGAACTGTACACTTGAAGCCCCATTGCACTGTCTAGGGGCTCATACTGTTTCCGGGAGACCCATATGCCCACTTGCAGGATCATATCGATAGTTAATGAGCATTCCGCGTTTCCTTTCATCTCTTTGCAGTTGCTCGGAGGACCCTACGCTGTTGTTGGGGACCTTCCTGTTAGTGTGCCGTTGCACTCCCGTCAATCACGGGCCCTTCCACGGATTTTTTCCATTCGCCAGAGAGGCCCTGTGAGCTATAGCTGGGGTTCCACATCTAACCTGCCGGGTATTATCGGGTGCCCAGGGGGCTCTTTAAGTGGGTCTCGGTAAACCTACCGACACACAGCTCCATGGGCTCTCTACATTAGTCTAAGAACGTTTACAATCTCTGTCACTTGCTTAGTTCCCTACACTCTTGTCAGGAGCATCTGAACGACCTGGTTGGGCACACTCAGTCGTTCGGGAACACCGCATTACTAGGTCTGTGTATTTATTTTCCGAATGGGGGCCCTACGCTCTTGTGGGGAGACATCTGATAACCTGCTCGAGGCACATTCGATCGTTCGGGGGCCCTCCTACATTGGGCCTTGGGCAGGGCTATTGAATGGGGCCCTACGCACTTGTCGGGGGGGCCCCTCTGTTCGCCTCCTCGACCACACTGATCGGGGGCCCTGCACATTGGTTCTTAATGTTTGAATTAAGCACCCTCTGCTCCTATCGAGGTCATCTGATAACCTGCTCGGATACACTTTCATCTTTCGGGGACCCTCCGCACCGGGTTTTGGCTGTCTCGTACTTGAATTGAGGGCCTTACGCTCCTGTGTGGTCTATTCTGATAAGATGCTCGGACCCTTTCGATCGTGGAGACCTCTACATCTTGTTTTGGACATTTCCTTTTTGAATGGAGGGCCCTTCGCTCTTTTCGGGGGCCCTATCTGCCCTAACCTGCTCTGGCACACCCGATCATTCCGGGACTCTCTGCATTGAATCTTGGGTACTTCCTATTTAAATGGAGGCTCCTACGCTCTTGATGGGGACCCTATATTTTAACCTGCTCGGGCACACTTGATCGTTGGGAGCCCTACATATTTTGTCGTAAGTATTTCTTACTTAAATGGATGGTCCTATGTCTTGGCGGGTCCCATCTATAAAGCTGCTCGGGCCAGTGGCGGATAGACAGAGGGGCGAGGCACGAGATCATCTCCCCATGGACCATACCGAGAGGACCTAAAGGCTCCGAAAGGACCCATAACCGGCCGAACAGACGCAGTTTTCTTACAAAAATTAGACGCCTTTGGACCTACAGACGACCAAAAACAATTGCTAGCAAAAGTAAGAGCTCATGATCAGACGAAGTTTATTCTTTCCTGATTGAGCAGGTGTTGCTGGGGGGGGGGGGAGTTTTGGGGCTCATTACGCTGCCCAGAGACGTTACGCTGCTGCCCGGACCCCATATGTCCACTTAACGGGTCAATCTGATCGCTAAGGAGCTTTCCATGTTGCCTTTGATCTCTGAATTTTTTCGTAGGGCCAAACTCTGCTGTTGGAATGTTATCTGCTCCATGCCTGGGCACTCTTGATCGAGCAGGTTTTCCTCGGCGTATTTTTTTTTTCTCATTTGCCCGAAAGGCTCTAAACGCTTTTACGGGGCGCCCATATGCCAGAGTGCACTCAGTTGCTCAGGGGCCCTTCATATTAGTCCCTGGTTCTTTCCACTTGCTTGGAGGGCCTTGTGCTGTTGCTGGGGCCCTTGGTAGGGTAGGGCACCGAGACACCCGATGTTCAGGGCCCTCTACCTTGATCGAGGGATCTTTCCCTTTGATCTCAAATGCAGAGGACTCTCCACTCCTATCGAGGCTCTTTCCTTTAACGTGCTCGTACACTTTTGATAGCACAGGGGTATTAATTCATGGTCTTGGGTAACTCCCCTTTGCTCAGAGGGTCTTGTGCTCTGGGTGGGGCACATATGTCAGCCTGCGTGGGGACAACGATCATTTAGGGGCCCACCACATTGGTCTTGGGTTCTTTTTTATTGCTCTGAGGATCCTGCACTTGTTGACGGGAGCCACATTGTTTGCCTCCCGCGGCACCCACGATCGCTCGGTTTCGTCTCAATTGCCCTTGGCGCCTTCGCCCTTAGAGCAGTGGTTGGATATGTGCCGATAAATTTTCACGCGCAATTGCCCGAACGTAATTTTGCATGCCGCCGGCGTCGTATGTGTCATTTTCATTGACTATTCAGTGTGTAACACTTGTACTAGTGCATCACGTTCTTAACATATTTCGAATGTTATGATACGTTGTACTCCTTTATGACAAATGAAAAATTATGCAGTCATCAGCCATCAGCTGATTACATCGCCCTCCCCGGCTAGCCGTAAGTTGGTTTTGATGGTTGCAAGCAGCCTGCTCAAGTTTATTTTGCCTGTGTTCCGAAACACTTAGCACCAAAATCACAGCATTTTAACCTGACCTGTAGAAAATGAGTGAGCTCTATGCGTATGCATGGGTAGCACGCCTAGCTTTATAGGGCTGCGCACGTTAAGATGGGTTCCGTATTATTGAATAAATGAATAGGTAAATATATTATATATATATAGTATATATATATATATATATATATATATATATATATATATATATATATGTATATGTATATACATCCGACTTGTCTTAAAGCGTGATGACCGAAAAGCAAGAATATTTTTGGAGGGGCCCCAAACTCCAGGGGGCCCACAGTGTTGCGTGCCCCCCTTGACGAAATCTCGGATCCGCCCCCGCGTGTTGTACACCACCGCAACATCGTACTGCAAGGCTTAACACTATAAACATCTGACACACATTTTGCCGCCTCTTAGGATGCGTGGAAAATGGTCTTCAGGTGATCAAGTTCAATGACTTTGCTCAAGGACTTAGAGCTAATGAGGCAAACAGCAAATAGAAGACCGTGTTCCGTTTAGCCATGACGAGTGGGTTGCCACAAGCGGGAAACCACGAAGCCTGCCACGAAATGAATGCAAAACTGCAGCAGAAAAATTGTAGCATTTGTTTTGCTCTGCGTAGATATTTCAGTAAATTTTTATCTAAGGATGTGGTAGCTCGCGATAGGAGGGAGAGTGGCGCTAATATTACGAAAAAAGGGACTCCGCTTGTCAGGATAAATACCTATAGCTAATCGGTTCTCAGCCCTCGGCAAAGTTCGAAGTATGAACGTTCGGGTCAGTTGTTGATCTCGGAATTAGCAATTAACGTAGGTACCCTGTTCGGCTTAGCAGACCTATGTCGCTGTATAATAATTTTGCTTGCACGTAGGCCGTGGGCCGTAATGCGCTGTCAAACACGAATACAGCCCGTTTTGAATGCCTGACTGTGTTTGGCACTTACGTGAGGTAACCCCTTGCTCACAGGGCCAGGTAGGTCCCTTGCTAAAAAAATTAGATCATCATTCTGTACTAGATTATTTCATCATGAATTATGCATGCATTAGAAAATATGACGATTATTGACCTTTGTCACAACTTGCCATTTTTGGATTCAGCAACAAAAACCTTGTGGTTTTCTCTCAATAAGTCAGGTTTGACTTTCAACTTATGCTCTCTTAGACTCTGTTTTTCATGCTCAACCCACCATGGCCCCCCAATACACTATTCAGGTTACCTTTTGGGTTTGCTGCATTTGAAATACAAAGGTTCTGTACAATAAGATGTTAAATGAACCTAGGGAGTGTCATTGCTGATCAGAAACCACTGCTAAAGCAGAAACTGACAGCCTGCCTCGCAAGAATGTTAATAGGTGTATACATTGCATGTTAAGTGTTATATGCTAAATAACCACAGTAATTGACACCCTAAAACCAAGATACTATTAGGTACCTGGTATATGCATATACACAAGAGCACTGCAACACCCAACACATCTTACCATGGTCTTAAAAATATATGCTGTTTTATGCATGTGACTTACCTAATATACAATTGTAGGTTAAGTCATGGAGTTTAAATAGCAGTTTGTCTGACATTAAAACAAACATCGATAACTGACCAGCAATTGTCCAATATTTGTGTTGTGGAATCCTATGCAAAGGAGATAACTTGCATTTACCTTGTATTGCTATATTTACACTTGCCAAATGAAACCAACTGCTGTTTTGCTTTGTTATGACATGCCATTCATTTTGCCAATTTGGAACTATTCAGATCATTGTTGTACTCATGGATGCCAGAAGTTCTCACAAGCTGGAATGGGTGGGGGCTGGCAGACAGCAAGCCATTATAGGTTATTATTGTAGACACTGTCCACAGGTCTAATATAAAACTTTCAGAAACTTTGCACCTTTGCCTCCCTGACTTCTGATGCCCTTAGTATCATACATGCAGGGTGTCCT